AAGATTATAAAAGGGCGTTTTGGTGGCATCGATTTATTGTCAATTAGGTCAGAAACGGGTACACCCAAGGTACCGCACGTCCAAGTTACCGCTGATAATTTTTTCAGAAGTGGGGAAGGAACGGGGGAAGTTGTTCCAACGGCGGGGGAAGATAATCCGTCGACTAGCGAAGTTGTTCCAACGACGGGTCATGTTGATGCGGGGACAGGGAATTTGTTTCGACAACAGGAAAGAGTGTTGCAAGAACGGAGGAAGTTGTGTTAGTTTCTAAGAAGGCTTCGGTAACGTTGTTCCACAGCACCCTTGTTCAACACATTGATAGAATTTTTGTCGCTAATTTTTGACCTGCGGATTTTGGAACTCCGGTAATGTTCTTGGTACCAATGGATAGAGCATTAAAAATATTCCAGATTGATTTTAAAAAAGTTATAATCAAAAACTTTTTCAAAAATGTGATTTCTCGGTACCTTATCGATCATATCTGTTTATTAACCAATGAAAATTTCGATTTTTGGTATTATGTAGAGTATTTGATGCTCTATCTCAAGATACCAAAAAAAATAAAGAAGTGATCATGCCTTCCATAAGTTATTGGATTCATGACTCAGTTGAGCTACCATAAAGATTTTTCCTGCCACCAAAACGACCCTTTCGTAAAAAAAATTTTCAAAATTTCCCTCACTCATACAACTGTGGAAACAACGGAATATAAGTCAAAGCCAACAAAATAACTGCCCAATAAAAATGAAAAGCAAAATTGGCAACATTTGGCATTTCTATTGTAAAATGCTTGCGTTCACCAATTTCTGGTAAAGCTGCAAACATGGTCAATAATTCACCTCCAGCACCCAATGGGTAAAGCAAAATGAAGAATGTATAGCTTTAAAAATTAATATTTAAAAATTATTTCTTAATCTAGTTAGCCACTAGAGGGGAAGGAAGTTTGAAATACACATACTAAAATTGTACTCCAATAAAAGGTAACCCCCCACCCCACCCAATAATAATAACTCGGTCAAATTGTTTGGATTTGGAACAGGGCTGGGCGCAATGAAAAAATAAAAAGCGAAATGCGATTTTTATTTTTGCGAAAGTGCGAAATAAGCCCAGCTCTGATTTGGAATATCCACCAGAAATCAAAAAACCTCTAAAGCTCGTCTCAGCCTCGAGGTAATACATACCGTATTTACTCGATTAATTTTCCTGGGGAATTATTTTTTCAATCCATCCATGGCATGGGGAATTATTCAAGGGAGGGGAATTATTCGAGTTTTAAAATTTGAACGTGTTTTAGGGTATTTGGGGGAGGGGATTATTATTTCAACTCATCCGTAGCAGGGGAAATTATTCGAGAGAGGGGAATTATTCGAAGGAGGGGAATTGATCGAGTAAATACGGTAGGTCATATTTTGACCATAACTTTATTGGTCATTAACCTATTTAAATAATTATATCCATAAAAGTTCTCGATGATTTAATTATAATATTTTATCTAGCAGAATTAATTTGATCAGATCGTTCTTAAAAAAGTTATAACCGGAAGAATGTGTGCAATCGTGATTTTTGATACTTATCCGTCTTTAACTTTTCGCAGTAAGATCTGATCAAATCAATCCTGTTATATAAAATAATCCTCACATACAGAGCTTTCGATTGGTATAAAAATTACTCAAATCGGTTAAGAATAAAAAAAGTTATGGCCCAAAATATAGCCTCTAGTTGAGACATTTCCTCCCCAAAATAGGCAGTATATAAACTTTTTTAATTTTTTTAAAAATTTACCGCATCCAAATAAGAACGCTTGGAACAGCATTAATCAAATTCAAAGCATAAAACGAATATCTAATAACTTCAGTAATCGACCACGCAATTAACAACATTGGAACACCAATACTAACGCGAGACTGAGTAAAAAAATATTTTTTGGAGGTTGTTTACTTTAACTACCCACCCAAAATTTTCAATTTTGGCAATTTAAGGAAGCGTTTGCAAATTAGCCAACGGGCAGGATTGAACCTGCGACCACCTGCTAGTTACTGCTAGGCGCTTTCGCTCACCACATATAGGAGCTCCACCAACGAGCTACCGGGGCATCGACTAATGCTTTCTCTTTTATTCTTTTAGATCGTTTAACCCCCGCCTAAACACTTCAAATGCTCTATGTGAATTATCCTTAATTTTATATGTCTATTGAAAGAGCTCAACGATCTTAATCGAATGACATCAAAATCAGCCCTCGCCCTTAAGTCTTAACCCAGACAAAGGGACTCAAAATGGTCAAAGCAAATCTGTGCGTCAGTGATGGGCGTCAGCGTTGCCCATAATTTTAGTCAAAATCATTGATGTCATTCGGCTCGTTAAGCTGAATCGAACTCTAAAATGTCCCGGTAACATTTATGGGGTGGGTAGTTAAAGTAAACAAGTTCCAAATTTTTTTTTAATTTTTTCAAATTTTTTTAATTACCGAGGCCACTTTGTAAAGAATCATCCAAACAACTGTTACTCGAGAAAAGACCTTTTTGTGGTGAAAAAATTTTTTTTAGATTAAAAAAAATTTTTTTTACTTGTGTAGTGGTTGTACCAACAGGGGATCGAACAAGGCGAAAAATACAATGAAAAATCTTAAGGTAAAAATTATTTTTGTTTATTTTTTTGCTCAATAGTCGAGCCTCACTATGTCCAAAAAATGAGGTTAAATTTCGAATTTTTGGACTAGAATTATACCTTTTGAGCCGTTTTGGCGCATTACTGTTTTGGCGCGCGACTCAAAACCAACATTTAACTGAAACCCAAATTCTTGGTAATTTTCTCAAAATTTTCTTAACATCCTTGTCTAACTTCTCCAGAAATTTCAGAATTTATTAACAAATATTTTATAAGTTACAGTCGATAGACTTAGAAAAATAAGGCATTTCAGGGTAGTTAATAGAAATTGCTGGGCATAATTTCTGAAATTCTAGAACAAAAAGTCTGAAATTTTTTGGAGAACTTAGTTTGGTATAAGAGAATTGCTATTGCAAAATTTGATCTTTATAGATATCGATTAGTAATGTTATAAAGGCTCGCGCCAAAACAACGCCAACGTTAAAACGACCCCGCCATTAAGACGTCGTTAAGCAACGTTAAGCCGCCCCAGTCCCTAAGCACCAAATTTGGAATAATGTACGTCAAATAGGGGGTGTATTTAATGTTGAGTGACTAAAAAATGAGGTTCGACCATATCCCTCCCAAGAAATTTAAAAAAATTTTTTTGGCGCTGGCCTAGTTTACGCGTCCAATCAACAAAAAATTGGATTTTTCTTAGTATTGCAATGTAGGGGTATGGGTCCAAAACATTTCTTCATGTTCGGGACCTACGCCCACTGGGTCTGGGACCGCTCCTTACCCTATCCGTCAAAATTTCTGAAATTTTAAAGATTAGCTATAAATTTCAGAAATTTCGAGGGCTAGGGAAAGGAACGGTCCTAAACACAGTGGGCGTAGGTCCACATGACAAAATGTTTTGGAATACCCCAACTTTGCAACACCACGAAAAATAAAATTTTGTTGATTGGACGCGTAAACTATACCAGCGCCAAATTTTTTAAATATTTTTTTTATTAAACAAACTTCCAGAATAGCAGCAGTTTGAAATATTTTCAATTCCAACTCAACAGAATCATACAATTCAGGAAAAGTCAAATTGGACATTAAACCGCGGACAGTTTTTAATAGAATAGAACCCCAACTTGAAGAAAGAAAAAAATTTTTGAATTTTTCTAATTTTTTAAAATTTACCCAAAAAATTGTAAAATATTGTAGGCGAGTAAATACAAATCTCCCGGTTTCATTTTTTTATTTTTTCTGGAAAAATAAAGGGGAAAGAGTTGTTATTTAATTAATAAAATTTAGGCTATCCTTGAGTTTAGTAAAATTTTACAAGTTTTACTAAAAACATAGACACCCCCAGTTAGGCGCGCGGCCATAACGGCGCAGAGCCATAACCTGCTGGAAAATTTCTGGTTCCTATCAATTTTGGTACCAATCTCTTTAGCTCGATGAGAGGAATCGTTTAATACTAAATTTGGTAAGATTCGGAAAACTTGAAGCAAGTTATGGCTAAGCGCCGTTATGGCCGTGCGCCGGACTGTACCCCTAAAACAGTGACGAATATCGTCTAAATTCGCGGCTAAATGGCTTGCGATTAAATGGCCTTTTTTATTTTGGGGGACGTTTCAGTATCCAGTCTTGAGGCCCTATTTTGGGGCATAACTTTTTTGAATCTTAACCAATTTGAATAATTTTATATCATTCGAAAGCTCTGAATGTGAGGATTATTTTAGCTGACAGGAATGACTTGATCAGATAATCCTAGAAAAAATTATAACCGGATAAGTGCGAGTAATCGTGATTTTTAATGCTTATTTGGCTATAACTTTTTCTGAGATAATCTGGTCAAATTAGTTCTGTTGGCTAAAATAATCCTCAAATCCAAAGCTTTCTAATGATTTAATAATTATTTAAATCCGTCATTAGTAGTTTAGTTTAAAAAGTCAAAATTCGCTCGGTCTAAGTAATTGATGATTTTGTTCAAACTGAACTTGAGAATTATTTACTTGTGTTCCTTATCTTTTCTGTTGGGTCAGACCATTTCTATTTTGCATTTTATACTATACGCTTTTCATTTATCGATTTATATTTTTATGTTTGCAAAAGCATAAAAAGGTCCGCAGAATCAGGGACACGCCCAATTAGGCGCGCGCCCATAACGGCGCAAAGCCATAACCTGCTGAAAAATTTCTGTACCTTATCAATTTTGGTACCAATCTCTTCAGCTCGATGAGAGGAATCGATTAATACTAAATTTGCCAAGATTCGGAAATCTTGAAGCAAGTTATGGCTAGGCGCCGTTATGGCCGCGCGCCGGACTGTACCCCTAAAAATCAGAATAGTCTGCAAACGCGAGCTAAACACTCAATCCTCACAACCGCAAATTTTTTTTTCTTTTTTCTAGCTTTAAAATGTTCTCTCCAACTTCAATTGTTCGACAGTCCCGTACAACTTTATTAGATTTTTGTCGTTTCAAGTCTGCTCTGACTCCCCATATTTTGCCTAAAACCAAATTGAACGACGAGGTTTAAATTTAAATTTCTCAAAATTAAATTAAAATTTAAAGGTTATTCTCTCCAAAAGCAATAATCGTTACACTGTGACAGCGCTGCCAGGCGATGGAATTGGACCTGAGGTTAAACAAATTTTTTAAATTTTTGCGGATTTTGGTAAAATTCAAGTTAGCCCCCTCCTTTTTCCTTCCTCAAAGTGAGGGGGTTGATTTTGGTGACATTTGCTACAGATCGACGAGTTCTATAGCCTAGGACCTATAGCCTGAGACTTATTGCCCATTTTTTAATTCTTTAAGGAAAGAAAGAGGAGGGGGGCGAACTTGAATTTTTGCGGATTTTCCCTGGTTTATTTTGTTGAGGATTAACTGCTTATCGGATTCGGGTTGTCTTTCTCGATTTCCAAGACATTTTGGGTTCTGGGAACCCTTCTAGAGTTTCGGGTTCAAGAACAGTCCGCGAATCTATAGATAATTTTTGCAAATCTATAGAATGTCCGCATTATCGAAAATAGTCCGCAAGTAGGGAAAATCTGCATTGGTATCGGTTCGGGGGATCTATCGGTTCTGGAAACCGTTCGGAGTTCTTGAACCCTTCTAGTTGCATTGTCTCAAGAATAGTCCGCAAAAATTACAATAGTCCGCAAAGAATAGTCCGTCTCAAAAATAGTCCGCAAATCCGCAGAGGGAGGTGAAATCGGCAAAAAATGTCATAGGAACCGTGATTGTGGGTCAGTAGTCCGATCCTGACCCTTAACCCGCTCCTATAGTCCGCAAAATTATATTTTTTACGGACTAATGTTTGCGGACTAATGTTTGCGGACTATCCTAACCCTTAACCCTCTCATACTTTTTTTAATTCTTAACATCCCTGAAATCCGCAAGTTTTATACGAAACCTACCTCCGTTTCAATAACCTTTTTCTCTTTTTTTAAAGATGCTTGCTCATGTTAAACGTATATTTTCTTCCTCAAACATTCCTGTTGATTTTAACGATGTTGAATTAAATTCGAAAGATCCACTAGATGAGGAATTGGAAAAAGTGGTTAATGCAATACATAAAACTGGGGCGGCTTTGAAGGTTTCTTCTTTTTATATTATTTAGTTAAAGACATTGGTGGGTTGATCACTTTTCGATGATAGTTAATCCGCATATTTTGTCCGCAAGTTCACGGGCTATTTCTAATAATTGGAAAACTTGAGGACTATAAAAGTCCGCAAGTTATATCCGCACGTCAACAGTTTCTGTTTTTACTTAACTGGAAATGTTGGGGACCCGTCTCCTCTAAAAACTGACAGTTTTCGTGACCCCCTCCCCCTACTGGGAACGACCTTATAAGGTATTTCCGCATTCAAACGAGTATTCTACTTAACACGGGAAGCGAGGTGTCCGAGCTAAGAACGGTCGAGACGGGCTCGTTCGATAGAGAATGTGCTCTTTCTAGCAAGGACTTTGGAAGGTCATATCTTGGCCAGATCAAAAAAGGGCAAAAACGGCACAAAATCCTTGCTAGAAAGGGCACATTTTCTATCGAATGAGCCCGGTCTCGATCGTTTTTAGCTCGGACACCTCGCAACCTTCCCGTGTGAGTGAGGTCCTTTTGTATTAAATTTTTATTCACTCTAAATTTTTAGGGAAATATTGAAACAAAATTTGACAATCCAGATTTTAAATCGAGAAATATGGAACTTCGACGTCGTCTTGATTTGTAAGAAAAAAAAATTTTCAAAAAATTTTTTTTAAGATATGCCAATGTTCTTCATTGTGTTTCTGTCCCAACCATTCATTCGCGTCATAAAAATCTTGATTTGGTTTTGATTCGAGAAAATACTGAAGGGGAATATAGTGGACTTGAACATGAATCGGTGAATGGAATTGTTGAGAGTTTGAAGGTTTTTTTGAATTATTGGGGGGTTTGGAGGGTTTTAAAGGTTTTGGGTAGGGTTGTTGGCGACCGGTTTTAAAACCGGAATTTTTGAAATTTTTTGCCAAAAATTAACCGTTTTTAGAAAATTTTAAAAACCGAAAACCGGAAATTTGTGAAAATTAGTGATTTTATTTGAAATTCCCCCAAAAATAAACCGGTATTTGCCTAAAACTCAAAACCGAAAACCGGGTTTCTAAAATTTAGATTAACCGAAAACCGGGGGTACCGGTTAATAACCGGTCGCCAACAACCCTAGTTTTGGGGCCTTTTTGAATTTTTGTGGTCCGTTGGGGGAACTTTTCAACTTTAGGGCCCCCTACTTTTATTTATTTTCAATTTTTCCTTTGGTAATTCTTTGACTCCCTTCTATTTTGACTTTTATTCTTTCATGAGTTTGGTAGGTGCTTTTGGATTATGCAACATTATCTGGGCTAGAAACCTACCATGTTCTGTCACCATTAGATGGCTTTTGTTGGTCCTTTCTTTGCTTTCCAGTGGATTAGGGAAGGGACGGGGTTTAAGATTTCTTTAGATCTTTTTTCGGTACGAAAAAAATTTTTTGTTAACAGTTTCTGGGTAACCTTTTCACTTCCTATCTTTGAATCCTTTGAATTTTTCTAGACGATTAACATGCCAACAGAGCTATCAATAAGCCAACTTGTAATTTTGGGACCCATTTCTTTCTATTCCTGGCAATGTTACAAAACCCAAAAGTAATGTTTGATACACAAAATTTGGACTTTTTTCGATCTCAACCCCTATCCGAAAAAAAATAATTGAAAAATCGGACCCTAACTCCGACTTAACTTCTTTCTCACCCCGCCTAATCCCCCAATCCCCGATTAAAATCCTTAGACCGAAGGGAACCATTACGGGACAAAATGTCATCTCTTTTAAAATTTTCTTTTTTTTCTTAAATTTAAAGATTGTGACACGCCATGGAATTGAAAGAATCGCTCGTTATGCTTATGATTATGCTGTTTTGAATAATCGACCAAATATTATCGTTATACACAAGGCAAACATTCAAAAATTGGGGGACGGTTTATTTTTGAAAGTGGCTAAAGAAATTTGTGATACTGAATATAAATCGAAAGGATTGCGTTTTGATTCGCTTATAGGTTTTGTTTTTCTTTAATTTTTGGACTTTATTTTACCCTCTTTTTTTATTTCTTCCCAAATTTTCGTTCGTGCCTTTGAAAACTAATTGTTTCAGTATTTTGGGTCAGGGAACTAGGAATGTGCCGGAGTCAATTTTTCAAATTTCGGATCACGGATGGGCCGGTTTGAGAGAAAAAGGTCGAATTTCGAGTCGAAAAGTTCCGAGCAGACCTGCCCACGGATACTGATTTTGGTATCCGCATATTTACGGCGGATACAGACGGATATCCGCAAGCCTTTTGATATTATCTGTATCCGTATCCATGAGCAAGTCTGGTTCTGAGTTCATTTACCCATTCCCCCTTGCTTGTGTTCATGATGGGAATTTTTGATGGGATTGGGTTAAATAAATTTTTTCAATCTTTTACTTTGTCCTGTTAGCAATCTGTTTATCGATTTGCCTGATTGGGAGGTATTTTCCAGGTTCCAGACCCAAATTTGAATTTATTTTTGTAATCTCTGGATTATACCCAGAGCCTGGGTCAATTGAGAAAAATAGGGCCGGGACCTGTTCGATTCTAGTTACAAATCAGATTGTCACTTGAATACCTTTGAGTTGTTTGTTTTATCGAATTTACGATTAAATTTCGTTTTGGGAAGGAAAAAAATTTTTTGGGAAAAATTAAAAGGAGGCTTTCATAAAGTTTAAGCTTTTCAATTTCCTGTAAAAATTAAAATTAAATTTTTCAAGTTGATAATGCTTGTATGCAATTGGTTAGCCGTCCACAACAATTTAACAACGCAATTTTACTTATGCCTAATTTATATGGAAATATAATTTCAAATATTGCTTGTGGATTGGTAGGAGGCCCTGGACTTGTTCCTGGAATGAATATTGGAGAAGAATATGCTGTGTTTGAAACGGTTTGGAAAAATTAATTTTTTTGTTTAGTTCCTTGGGGATTTGGAATTTTTGAGTGGTGTGGATTTTTAAATGATTTGGGTGGGGTTATAAAAATTAATGGGTGTAGCCAGGGAGCTTTTGGGGCTATGCTCTCCCCTCTTAAAATGGGGAATAGGAAAAATATTGGGAGAAAGATGATAGGAAAAATGACATTTTTTCGCTTGCGACCTTCAAAATTTTCGCATACGTTTTTTTTATTGTTCGACACCCTGGCGACGCTAATCGCGACGCTAACAACAATAATTCTAGTAGCTAGTTGATTCTCGGGTTTCTGCAAATATTTTTGCAGATATTTCCTTCCATATTTTCTTTCTTGGTTCACCTTTAGCTTTAAGAAAATCTATAGGTTTTACTTTACAGGGGAACATCCCGAACTGTATGTAAAAATTTGAAAAAAATTTTTGCACCATCGTGTAAAGCAGGGTCGATAAACTACTGAAACTTTGATCAGCTATAACTTTTTGATTTGGGGGTCAGAGAGAAAAAGCCAGAAATGACCAACAGGATATCGACCCTGCTCTACACGATGGTGCGAAAAAATTTTTTCGAAATTTTTTCTTACAGTTCGGGATGTTTCCTTGTTAGATTGTTAAATAGGAAGAGAATTTTGGCCTAAAAGCACGAGAGAGATAGTAAAAGTCCGCAAAATACGTCCGCAAATTTTTATCCGCTTTTTAATAAAATGTCCGCATTTCTTTCATCCGCAAATAATGTCCGCAAAAACTGTCCGCAATTTTTATTATTTTATCTTAGATAATTAAAAAAATTTTTATTTTTTTCTTTACAAAATTTAGGGAACTAGAAATACAGGCACCTCTTTAACTGGAAAAGATTTGGCTAATCCAACAGCTTTTATTCGTGCAGCAATTGATATGCTTCGTTATTTGGGGGTTTATTTTTTTTTATTTTTTAATTAAAAAAAATTTTTTTAAAGTTGGATAGTTATGCCGATAAAATGTCTGATGCTCTTTTTATTGCTCTAACTGAACGGAAATTACACACACCGGATATTGGAGTTTGTTTTTTCTTTATTTTTTCTATGGGGCTAAATTTTCGGGGTCCTTTTCAGTTATATTTTTTAAATAATCCGCAAATCTTTTTTTTATCCGCAAGTCTATTTTTTTTATTCTCTGAAAATATTCTCAAGAATTTGTTTATTTTGTATCTTTAAAATGGGTGGGGGCTAACTCAAGTAATACCAACTCAAGGAACAGACAGGTCAAGGAACGAGACCAAATCATGGCATATCGGAATTTTGTGAAAAATCTGAATATTTTTAAAAAATAAGAATTCTAACAATTAAAATAGTTTAAAAAACGGAATTTAAAAAAAAATCTGAAAAATTCTGATTTTTAAAATATTCCATGATTTGTTTGTTCCACGTGTCGGCCCAAACTGCGATAATAAGCCCCACCGATTATTTAATTTTGTTCAAACTCTTGAAAATTTTGTCCTGTTCCTTTCCATTTTATAATTTTTTTCTCATTTATAATTCGCATTTTTTATTATTATAGGGTTCATGTCACAGTACAGACATTGTTGATGCTGTTATTGATTTGATGCAGAAATAAGGTGGTATTTTTTCTAATTAGTTGTAATTGTTAGGCTTTTTACCTTCTTTAATTAAGAAATTAATTTTTTAAAAAGAGCTTTCTTAAAAAATACAATCGTTATATTTTTAAAAAAATTTTTGGGCACTTAATTTTGTAAATTTTTGGATTAAAAATTCGAATTAATGAATGATTGTATTTTTTTTGAAAATAGGAAGGTAAATTCTTCTCCTTTTTGACTCTTATTGTTTTATCTTTTTTTCGTTTTTTCGTCTTGAAATTTATTTTCTAAAATTTTCCTTGGCCAGGGTTGTCGTGTTCAACTATTTTTCGATATTTCGGAACGTGGATTGATTTCATGGGAATTAATGCTTGGGGGGAGTGAGGGCGAAGGAACCCATGAAAGCTTACTCTTGAATGAAGGAGAATTCCTCCCTCCTCTAGAGGGAACGGAGCTCGACCTGGACGATCAAAAAATCTTTTAGTTCATTCTTTCGCTTCTTTTTGCATTTAAATAAGAATTCGGTAAACCCGACAACCCTATCCTAGTGCATTTATTTTTCTGTGTATTTTGGTCTGGACTAACGTTCTGAATTTTTTGGAAATAAAATTTTGAAATATTCTTAAAAATTCAAAAAATATTTTGAAAATTTTTTGAACAATTTAAAAAATAATATCCAAGTTCCAGACCACTTCAAAAATTATTTTTTTCTTTCTTAATCTTCCCTAAATCAGGTGTTAATTAAATAATAATTAAAATCACCGGTTATTTTTTGCTTTTAAAAATGATCTGATTTTTTTTTAAATTTTTCTTTGTTGAGCTTCTCCTTTCCAAGAATAAAATTTCGTTAATTTTTGTTATTTAAAATGCATTTATTTTCATTGCTTAATACAGTCGAATGTCGATACTAGGATTCACCTCTATTTCAAGATACACTTTTTGAAATTTATTTGGCCAGTCAATAGGTGTGGGTGTATGGACTTAAATGTTACACCGTATGCCCAAAGTGTTAACCAAAAATGACCTTAATTTATGATGTTATTAGGGGTGGTGGTGGTTTACTTTAACTTTAAAGTGCCCCTCATTATAAAATACATTTTCTATTCCAAAGGAAGTAGCTTTAAAAGAAAGCTTTCGATATAAGATACACCTCGAATATACGCTTTTTAAAGTTTTTTTGGCCATTTAGTGGGAGGATTGGGTTTTGAGGAGGGGGCTCCTCTCCCACTACCAACTCACTTCAAAGTCCCCCATTATAAGATAGATTTCTGTTACAAAGGGAGTGGGAGGTGTCTAAAAACGAGGTTCGACTGGACATACATTTAAATTCTCTTTTTTAAATTTTCCTTTTAAAAATTAATTTTTTAAACAAAAAATGGAAATTACGGAAGAATCAAAATCCTCATCATCTTCCAATAAAACCAGTCAACAACCCAAAAAACCGTTTACTTTAAAACGATGGAATTTAATAGCTACATGGGCATGGGATGTAGAATGTGACACTTGTGCAATTTGTCGAGTTCATTTAATGGGTAATTTATAAGTGAGAGGTACTATCGCATTATTGGTAGGGTTGGGGGCCCGGTTCTGTTCGAATTTTGGCCCGGAAATGACTCGAACGGGCCGAAAGCTGCAACCTTAATTAGGTCGCACACACATCCATGTCGAAGTTGCGACTGGCCCATTTTTTAATTTTTTTATAAATCGGGCCGGGCTTTTTTCACTGGAATTCGAAACAGGTTTGGGCCCTGATGCGATAGTACCAAAAATATGTAAATTCAAAATTTTTGTTATAAAAATATTTTTCCTTTAGAGGCCTGTCTTCGTTGTCAATCAGAATCTAAAGCACAAGAATGTGTTGTAATATGGGGAGAATGTAATCATTGTTTTCATTTGTGTGGGTATTTTGGATTTTTTTTAAATATTATAAAATGGTGGAAAATCTATCAAAAAATTCAGAAAAGTATTGAACATTTTTTATTTTTTATTTTTAAATTTTTTTCTTGGATTTTTTTAAGTTCCATAATCTTTTTTTGGATATTTTTAGAATATTTTGAATTTTAAAATTTCAGTAATTTTTTTGATTTTTTTAGAATTTTTATTTTTTTTATGAAAAAAAAATCTCGAAAAAATTTTTCAAGATTTTTTTTTGAAATTTGGCACTTTCTTATTATAAACTTTCTCGAAAAATAATATTTAAAAAATTCAGAAAATTCTTCCAATTTTTCTTGAAAATTCAAAAAAAATTTTTTTACAGGTTGTATGTCACTTTGGGTGAAACAAAATAATCGCTGTCCCCTTTGCCAGGCCGAATGGAATGTTCAAAGAGTTGGAAAATGAACAAAAAAAAATTTTTTTTAATTTTTCAAATTTTTTAATAAAACTATTTTTGAATTAAAAAAAAAATTTTTTTTTTAATTTTAAATTCACTTTAACGATTTTTAACAGTCGTTTATTTTTCTTTTTAATTTTTAAACCAGGGCTCTCATCGACAAAATGCCACTCAAAAGTATCAAAATCTTGATAAAAAAGTATATAGGGAGAAAATTTCCAAATTTAAAGTATACTCAAAATTAAATTGGAAAATATTTGTTCGTGCTCAAATCTTTTATATTTCTCTCTTAAATGAATCTTTTCTAATAATTTCTTGCTTCCATTGGGCATTTTGTGCATTTCAACGCATGACATGTCAAAATTCGCTGATACAAGAAATAAAGCCCTGACAGTCTTAACCTCAAGCTTTCGTCCATTTTCAGCGCCGCAGGCGAAAATTTTTTGAAATTTGGAGCCCAAGTAGTCAGATTTCTCCCATTTTCAGCGCCGCAGGCGAAAATTTTTTGAAATTTGGAGCCCAAGAAGCCAGATTTCTTTCTTTTTCAGCGCCGCAGGCGAAAATTTTGATAATTTCGAAGGCCCAAGGCTAAAAAAATTCACTTTTTTGCCCAATCCCTTCCCCAATTTCATTTTCAATCCAAAATGTTGATTTTAAAGTATATACTTTCAATAAAGTATAAATTCAATTTCTTAAGTATGGAGGTCGGTTTCAAAGTATAATACTTTCAAATAAAGCACGAATGAGAGCCCTGTTTTAAACTCTTACATTTATTAATTTGAATTTAGCCAGAAAAAGTTTTTTTTGCAATTTTTGTGTGTTTGGCCTTCAGTTGGTATTGTATCGTTTACTTGTTTGGATTATTGTTTTGATTTGACTTTTTGTTTTCCAAATTTGGATTCTCTTTTTTGGTAAAAAAATTTTTTTCAATTTTTATAAAAAATGAATTCGCTCATGCCAAAAAAATTGGAATTTAGCCAGAAAAATTTTGCGATTTTCCCGCAGGGGTCCCTGCCATCCCGCAGGGGTGTATCTTTTTTTAGGACAGAAAAGGCACATAATAAAGGAATGGGGAGAGAAAAGTCGCTAGCGATTTTGTCTTTCCTTCCAAATCTTTCTGTCGCAAAGCGACTTGCGACTAGAGGTCGGTAAATTCGCATTCCCTTGATCCCGGAACGGGGTTAAGTTTAAAAATTTTGATCGGGACGGGATCCCGCGGGAATCCCCTTTTTCGCTGAAAACCCGGGATTCCATGACCATGACTGGAATCCCGGGATGACCATGACTGGAATCCCCGGGAAAACCGGGATTCCATGACCATGACTGGATCCCGTAAAATCCTCTACGGGGTCCCGTCCGCTGCCAACCTCTACTTGCGACTCTGTTTTTTGCTTAGATTTTGTTTTTTGATACTTTTGACATTTTTTATCTATTATTATTTGATTTTATTTTTTAAGGTTGTTCTTTTTTGCACTTATTTATTTAAAATGACGAACGGTGATTCCAATCGACAAGAAGATTTAGCTATTCGTCGACCAAGTTCTCAAGTAGTTGATTATGGTAGGAATTATGGCAAGTTTAATTATCGATTACTAAAATCTTATTTTGATTTTTTATTTAAAGGATTAGAGATCGGGCCGAGAAGGGATCTCGGTCAAAAATCTCGGTTATCGATATAGATATTTTTCTAGATCTCGATTCTCGTGTGGCCCTCCCAGTCCGGACTCCATTTAGGATATGGTTAACTCTAGAGATCGGAATTTTTAAAAAGCCTGGACCTGTTCCCGGACTCTGGGGTTCGATTTATTGACCAGGGCCTGATCCTGGGTCTGTAGTCCAGGAAAAACCCAGGCCCAGGAAAATCCAGGCCTTGGTCCAGACCCAGGCCTATCTCTATTTAACATCATTTATTCTGAATTTTTTAGGGTCGGGAAAAAATTAACTTTTTTTGTTTAAATTTTATGCTGTCCTTTTAAGTTTATTTAATAATTAAACAATTTTAAGTTGATCCAACTGTGGAGGCACGATGTTTTAACGAAATTATGCGTCTTCGAATTGAAATGATGGAAAGAGAAAATAATTTAAAAGAAGCTTTGAGAGCTGAATTTCGAGCGGCTATACAACAGAGCAATACAGAACTTCGAGCAGCTATGGAACAGAATAGAAATAATCTTCAAACTCGGATTGATGAAAATAATACAGCACTTGAAAATCGACTTCATCAAAATAATACTGATCTGCGTGCTGCTGTTCAACAGGGCTCCTCAAATTATACAGCGGTAAAGTTT